GGGTAGACGACTAATTTTTATTTTAATGTCCGTCTGGTAGATTATTTAAAAACATTAGACACGTATTTTTTATTTTCTTACGGAAACGAATAGTTTCGAAGATATATTGATTTGAAATGTCGCGTGACGTCACTTCTCAGTACATTTTATACTAAGAAATGACGTTTTAGCCCCCACTCCTAAACTTTGATTCGTTTTATCTAAGTATTGTTTTATTATACAACAAAATAAAAAAATACGTGTCTAATATTTTTTTATTACCTAAGTTACGGACTAATTATATTTTTAATTTTCATACCCTGTCATCATCCCCATTAAAGAACAATAGGTTGCGGTCACCGGTGTCCTCGCGGTGTTTGACAGTTTAAATTGTTTACAAAATAGCCTCTTGCCCGCGGTTTCGCTCGCATGGTTTAGAAAGAAACGCTAGGTTCATTCTTCCATAATGATCATAGAGATACCAATAATTTTTATCAAAATACGTTTAAAGAAACCGACAACAACCTCTTTAAACTGTCAAACACCAAGCGGTCACCGGTGACCGCAACCTATTGTTCTATAATTGTGTCTACAAAACCGGTACTCGACGAGTTAAAAAAAATCTACCTCTAGAACATGTTTATTTATTTATTTATTTTACATAAACTGTACGAGAAATTGACAGACGACAAATTGAAATCGTACACAACAATCTTAATTATAAATAGTGAGCGAACCTGAAGTCCAATTACAACTGTACATAATCCATTTAGGTATATCAAATTACATAAACAATTCCCAAATGTTAATCCATTTTACTGTAATAAATTTTGTTCAATTTTTGAAAACTAAAAATTACTAAAAAGCGGCCATACAAGAAATCAAAGGTAACAAAAGGTACAAAGGGAACAACTGAATGAGTGAACAACAAACCCGAAACAATGGCGTAACGACACATATCATGCTCATCGAGCTCATGTTCCTATGTGTAAGAAACACGTCTTTTAGAAAACCGCACCAAAATCGGTTCAGCCATTCGCGAGATAATCTCGGACATACATACCTACGTACATACTTATTATACAGTCACACTAAAAACCTCTTTTTTTCGAGTCGATTAAAAACTGCAGAATTTTTAACATCGACCTCTTTTTAAAATGTCTATAATCTAAGTGATCCTATGTCAATTAGATCTTAACCGACGGGGACTGCAATGTCCAGGGGTAAGGTCGTAGTGGCGGTGTCTCTGGACATCGCCAACGCCTTCAACTCCCTGCCCTGGAGCTGCATCCTGGAGGCACTCCGATATCATCGGGTGCCTACCTACCTCCGTCGTGTAATCGAGGCCTACCTGACGGACAGGTCCGTCAGCTACCCCGGTCACAGGGGCGAGTGGAACCGGCGAGATATGTCACGCGGTGTTCCATAGGGTTCGGTCCTGGGGCCGCTCCTGTGGAGCATCGGTTATGACTGGGTGCTGCACACCGACCTCCCGAACGGCGTTAGCACAATATGCTACGCCGACGACACGCTGGTGCTAGCGCACGGGAGGTCGCACCAGGCGGCGACCGACTTAATGGCGACAGCGGTTGCGACAGTCGTTGAGAGAATCCGGCAGTTGGGACTGGAAGCGGCGCTCCACAAGTCCGAGGCCATGTATTTTCATGGCCGCGGGAACGCGCCACCTCCGGGTGGGTCCCAAATAACGACGGGAGGAGTTACCATCGGCGTCAAGACGACGATGAAGTACCTAGGACTCGTCCTCGACAGTCAGTGGAACTTCATTGAGCATTTCCGACGTTTGGCTCCAAAGTTGGAGCCAAACGTCGGAAATGGCAACCTCCAAACGCCGGGGTCTTGCGGCCGGCTTATACGCCGGGGTCGTGCGGTCCATGGCCTCTACGGCGCCCCTGTGTGGGCGCCGGACCTGTTGCGGCGTCCCGCTCGGACGCTGCTTATGGCACAGAGGGTCATGGCGATCCGAATGATCCGCGGATCCCGCACGATCTCCGGGGAGTCGGCGAACCTCCTTGCCGGGTTACCGCCGTGGGATCTGGAGGCGAAGGTGCTCGAGCGCTTGTATAGCATGCGCGCGGAGGCACGTCGCCAGGGCGAAACTCCGCTGCCGCGCCAGATAAGTGCGTGGCGGGATGAGCTCCGGCGCGATCTCATGGCGGAATGGCAGCAACGACTGTCGCAACCGAGGGCTGGGCTCGCTGCCATCGCAGCGGTAAGTCCCCTCTTTGAGGAGTGGCTTGAGAGACGCTACGGCGTCCTCACCTACCGCCTGACGCAGGTCCTCACCGGACATGGAAGTTTCGGGAGGTACCTGTGTCTGATGGGGCGGGAGGAAACGCCCGGGTGTCATCACTGCGAGGACCGCCCTGAGGACACGGTGGAACACACGGTGGGAGAATGCCCTTCGTGGGCTGAGCACCGCCGTGTCCTCAGGGAAGTGATCGGCGATGGCGACCTCTCGCGTCCGGGCCTAGTGCAGGCCATGATGCGGAGCGAGGGGGATTGGGATGCCGTCTCCTCCTTTTGCGAAGCAGTCATGCTAGCTAAGGAGGAGGCGGGACGCGTGAGGCAGCGAAGCGCTGCCTCCTCGCAACCCAGCCATCGCGAAGGACACACCGGGCGTCGGGGATCGCGGGACGATCTCCGGCCACCGTAAGCGCGGGCCTGCGGACGGCGAGCATGGGTGGCTCCCCGTCCGACCAGAAACAGACCCGAGCGTACGGCGCGTCGCGTTCCGCGCGCGCCTCAAAAAGCCATCAGACCACCACAGATGGGGCCCAATACGGCCGATGCCAATTCGGAGTCGCGGAGAACCTAACGGGCAACCGGGGCTCCGACTCGACGTTCAGGAGAAGGAACGGGGTGGTTTTTAGTCAGTAAGAGTCTGATACTCCCTCCCGCCTCACCCAGGCGGGAGCAGTAATTCGATGATTTTCCCCCCTTAAAAAAAAACCGACGAGCATGCATGAAAAGATTGATGACTGTTATTGAAGCGAAAGAGGTATGTAAGAATCATAGTAATTGGCGTTCCTTAGTCTCTGCCTACCCCCATGGGAGACAGGCGTGAAGTTATGTATGTATGTATGATCCTATGTGTAATACTTTTTTGAAAACCGCATGAAGCTCGGTGCAACCAATCGCGGGATAATGGCGGACATACATACCTACATACGTCATACTATTGAAAATCACCCCCGTTTTCATACAAAAGTAGTCTCTAAACATCGGAAATAAGGTCTAAAATATAGCTAGTGGAGAGCGGTCACCGGTGACCGTTTGGGGATAAATGGGTATTAATGCTTGTTGTGTTAGAATCTGTTGCATATGTAGGTATGTTTATTAAGTACGAATGCATGTGTGTGTGTCATCATAAGAATCAAGAATCCATAATGTTAAACCAGTCGTAAATAAATCAGTGCAATGCAACCACGTATTTCTCTTACCTAAAATCCCCGCAAGCAAAAGTGAATCTTATTACTATAACATTTTGGTCGACATCGAGCCGGATACTATTGGACTTACGACGTTTCACACATCGAGCGCAATACAAAAGGACGGGTCGAGAGGCGAGCGAAGAACAAAAGAAAGAATTTGTTGTAAAAAATAAATGGTCAATTTGAGCCTAGTTAGTTAACGTGATCATAACAAGATATTAACTACGAAGAAACATAGAAACGTTTTATTTTAACGACAAATTGAAGGAAATTACATCAAAAATGGCTAATACTCCGGAACAATTATTAAGTGTGCTGGAAGATACGGCTATGAAGTTATCAAAAGCGCAAATAAATCTCAAGAAATGTCCGAAACAACGTCTTACAAAAGGATACATAGAAACACGAATTAAAGACATCGAAGAGTATTGGTCTACGTACAAAAATACACATATAGAATTAGTGAAGTGTGTACCGAAACCGCAACGACTCGACATTCCATACTTTACTAACGAAGATTACTTTGTTCACGAAGATTTGTACGTGTGTTTATTAGCCGATCTAAATGATTTATTGAGTACATACATCAAGTCGTCGCCGGTATCTATGCAAGCTAACTATAACAGTGATTCTGGCCTATCAAGGGAAGTGCATGTTAAATTACCGAGGATTCAACTCCCAACCTTCTCAGGTATTTACGATGAGTGGCCTGCTTATCAAGACTTGTTTACATCATTAGTGCACGATAATCAAACATTAACTAAAGTACAAAAGCTGCACTATTTGAAAAGCAGCCTTACCGGTGAAGCCTTGTCACTCTTGAAACACGTGCAAGTTACAGAGGTTAACTATGAAGAATCGTTTAGAATGCTTAAGGCGCGATTCGGTAACAAGCCCATTATTGTCAATTCAATATTGAAGAGATTATTTACACAAAGGAAGATATCTGTACAAACCGCAAGTAACATTAAATCTATATTGGACACGACTACAGAATGTCTGAATGCACTAAAAAATCTAGAATTGACAACGAGCTCTTGGGATCCACTCATAATATTTTTAGTTGTTCAAAAATTGGACCCAGAGACGCATCGTGAATGGGAAGAAGTTGCTTACAAGGATAACGCCGAAGAGTTACCGGACTGGGACGCACTTAAGATGTTCCTGCAAGCGAAATTTCGCACGTTGGAGCTTGTTACGCCCCCGACCAGAGAAAAATCTAAAGGAAAAGAATACGCAGTTCACATGTCAACCTCAAGTACTACGACTCCGTCGAAACAAAGAAGCTGCGCTATGTGCAACGAAGATCACACATTGTGTCATTGTGAGGGATTCATCAAACTCAGCCCAACAGAGAGGTGTGAGTACATTAAACAACACAATCTATGCTATAATTGCCTGGCCCCTGGACATTCAGCTTATAGATGTCGCCTGAAGATGTCCTGTCGAAAATGTCACAAACGTCATCACACACTTACGCACCAGTCTACGCCTATGACGTCATCAAACCAACCAGGCAACAAGAAAGAACAAGATAAAGACATTGAAACTCAGCAAGCTTCCGCCAAAACTAACGTTTCACTTTCATCGCATGTCACTGCTACTTCGTCCACTGCAATACTGGCCACAGCCCTCGTGCCTGTAAGAGAACATGAATCGGGACAAGTGACAGTACTACGTGCTTTGATTGACCACGGCTCCCAAGCTACCTTCATGAGTGAGAGAGCGGCCCAGATGTTACGATTGAAGAGAACGCCTGTTAATGGCACCATCACTGGAGTCGGCTCAACCACAACAAATGTTAAACATTCTGCAGAAATCCAATTACTATCAAGACACGACGCTAGTTTCAACTTCACAGTCAAAGCGTACATCATATCAACCCGTCTCACTGCCAAGCTACCATCACAAACCATCTCCACCAACACCTGGCCGCATCTCCAAGGACTCTCTCTAGCGGATCCAAGCTTCAATAAATCAGGAAGAGTTGATTTATTACTGGGTGTTGATGTGTGTGCCCAAATCATTAAGGGTGAAGTTATCAAGGGCCCCCCAGGAACACCATGTGCTCAAAACACCAGCCTGGGTTGGATTCTATTTGGGAACGTGGAAACCAAACTACCGGGAGATGATATTATCGTCATGCACCTCGATCTTGATCTAAATAATATGCTGAAACGAATGTGGGAACAAGATCCATATGACAAACCAGAACCCACACCAGAGGAACGAAAGTGCGAAGAATTTTACGAAACCACTACTATGAGAAATAAAGACGGACGTTATATTGTGAGGCTACCCAAGAAAACTAACATGCTATTATCAACCCAAGGAGATACAAGAACAATAGCATTGAAGAGATTATACCAATTAGAGCAAAGATTTAAGAACAATCCAAAATTGAAGAGCGACTATGCTACAGTCATGAAAGATTACGAATTAAACTACATGGAAGAAGTACCAAAACAAGAAATTGCCAATCCATCTGTGTATTTACCACACCACGCCGTAGTTAAAGAAGAGAAAGAAACGACCAAATTAAGAACTGTTTTTAATGCTTCTCAAAAGGGAAGTAACAATGTATCACTGAATGACGAACTGATGGTCGGACCACAGATACAAGATGACATGAGAAGTCTCATCATGAGATGGCGTATGAAGAAAGTTTGTTTCGTAGCCGATATCCAAAAAATGTACCTGCAAGTCATCGTTAATGAAGAAGACAGAGATCTGCAACGAATACTGTGGAGATATGATGAACAAGAACCTGTCAAAGACTATCGTCTTACCAGAGTCACGTTCGGGACTGCTTCTGCTCCTTACCTGGCAGTAAGAACCTTGCATCAAGTAGCCATAGACGAAGGACAAAATTATCCCGAAGCTGCAAAAATAATAAGTCGCGACTATTTCATGGATGACATGATGTCTGGTAAAGACAACGTCACAGATGCAATTAAAGTGGCGAAGGAAATAGACGTCATACTCCAGAAAGGTGGGTTTAAACTGAAGAAATGGTGTTCTAATAATGCTGACTTTCTTAAAGCATTTGAAGAATCTGAAAGAAGCTCACATGTAAACTTAGACATAACATTAGACGGAATCACACGAGCTTTAGGATTATACTGGAATATGGGCAAGGATCAATTTCAATACAGCCTAAACTTACCTGCTAAATCCAGGACCCTTACGAAGAGAACAATCTTAGCTGATTTGCAGAGATTGTTTGACCCATTAGGCTGGTTGGCGCCTTCTGTTTTGCCTGCAAAGCTTCTTATCCAAAAGTTATGGCTGCAAGGAGTAACATGGGATGAAGAAATAGACGAAGACATTGCCACTGAATGGAACAGCTTACGAGAATCGTTTCATCTTCACTTACCTGAGATTGAAATAGATAGATGGCTCCATACTTCTGAAAGTAACATGAACAACATCACTATCCATGGCTTCTGTGATGCGTCGAATCGAGCTTATGCTGCAGTGGCCTATCTAAGGGTCAGAACAGATAGTGGTGAAGTAAAGACATCAATCCTCGCAGCAAAAACGAAGTTAGCACCTACTAAACCCCAGTCCTTACCTCGTCTAGAACTCAGTGGTGCGGTGCTGCTTGCTGGACTCCTGAAGCAAATAAAGGAAGCAATGAATATACCCTCTAGTCAGATATACGCATGGACTGATTCCACTATTGTGCTCTCCTGGCTTTTCGGTGATCCTACGAGATGGAACACGTACGTTAGAAATAGAGTTGTTGCTATACTCGATAACATCGGAAACCATAATTGGTACCATGTCAAGTCACCAGAAAACCCAGCTGACGCTGGTTCGCGAGGTCAATCCCTGCTGGACCTTAAGGACGACGAACTGTGGTGGACAGGTCCAAAGTGGTTGAAGGAAGGAGAAATTCAATACAGTAGACCTAAAGCGATGGTAACTGATCTGGAAAGAAAGGAAATATTACAAGTCAATTTAAAACTTAAAAATGAGAACAGCATAACCTCAAGATTTGAAAATTGTGACACTTTACAAGAATTGCTAAGGGTAATAGTGTACTGCAAAAGATTCTTAAAAGGAAGAATAATTGAAAACAAAGACTTACCTGTAAACACGGAGGAATTAGATGACGCGATGAAAACCTGTTTGAGAATGACACAGAAAGATAGCTTCGAAGAAGAAATTGAGCACCTGAAAACAAAGAGACCTATTAAAAGACACAGTAAACTAAACAATTTGAAACCTTACCTGGACGATGATGGAATCCTCAGGGTGGGCGGAAGACTGCGTCACTCTGACCTAAACGAAGACGGTAAACACCCGATTATTCTTGATCGTGATAACAATCTCACGGCACTCCTCGTCGCTGACGCTCACCTGAAAACCCTGCACGGTGGAGTTCAACTAACGCTCTGCTTCCTGCGAACTAGATTCTGGATCCTAAAAGTAAAAACTTTGGTTAAATCAAAGATAAGAAAATGCCTTATTTGTGCAAAACTAAACGCTACTGCAAGGTCACAACAGATGGGAGACTTACCTCGTGCTCGAGTTACACCTGCAAAACCTTTCTTGAATACCGGCATAGACTTCGCAGGCCCGTATCAGGTTCTGATGTCAAAAGGGCGAGGAGCAAGGACGAACAAGGCATACATCGCCATCTTTGTCTGTATGTCTACAAAGGCGATTCATCTGGAACTTGTCGGAGATCTCACGTCAGACGCGTTCATTGGAGCCTTTCGAAGGTTTGTAGCTAGACGTGGAAGATGTGCCCATATATGGAGCGACCAAGGACGCAACTTTGTTGGAGCTAACAAGCTTCTGGCCGGAGACTGGGCAGAAGCAAAACTACAATTCGAAGGTCCAGTCGCTGAGAAATTAGCCTTGGATGGAACGAAGTGGCATTTTATCCCTGCCTATAGCCCACACATGGGTGGATTATGGGAGGCTGGGGTGAAATCGATGAAACATCACCTAAAACGAATCTTAACAAAACACGTGACCTATGAAGAGATGATCACCCTGCTATGCCAAGTGGAGGCTTGCCTCAATTCAAGACCTCTAGGAATAATAGACGACACGAGTACCGACAACGTTCAACCATTAACCCCTGGTCATTTTCTGATCGGTGAAACACCTATTACTGTGCCGACCCCCAACTTGCAAAATATCCCAGTAAGTCATTTGTCACGATGGCATCATCAGCAGAGGTTAATGACTGAGTTCTGGCACAGGTGGCAACAAGAATACCTGTCACGGATGCAGCAACGTTCGAAATGGCACAACAAGGTCAAGGAGTTTGAGATAGGACACATTGTTTTAATAAAGGCAGATAACTTGCCTCCAGCTAAATGGATGATGGGACGAATTGTTGACAAGCATCCGGGCAAAGACGGTGTGACACGTGTGTATAGTGTGAAAAGTGGTGATAGTGTCGTGCAAAGACCATTTAACAAGTTATGTTATTTACCAATAGACACTGAATGATAATTTTTCTAGTTTGTGTTAATTTACCTCATTATCAAATGTAACTGCTAGATTACTAACTGCATAAACTATAGTGTACCTATGTATTATAATATAATTAGATTTGCCTTATTATGATTGTGTTCTGTTAAAGGGCAAATAGGCCCTTTGGTGGGCGGTATGTTGTGTTAGAATCTGTTGCATATGTAGGTATGTTTATTAAGTACGAATGCATGTGTGTGTGTCATCATAAGAATCAAGAATCCATAATGTTAAACCAGTCGTAAATAAATCAGTGCAATGCAACCACGTATTTCTCTTACCTAAAATCCCCGCAAGCAAAAGTGGATCTTATTACTATAACAATGCTAATTATGTATCATTGTTACTATGGGAATGAAATAAAAGGCTTATTTAATATATTTATACCTATTTATTTATTTATTTTGGCGATATATTAAAGAAGGGCCAAATTAAAAGTACCCTTAACCGACAAGCATGCATGAAAAGATTGATGATTGTTGATGAAGCGAAAGAGGTGTGTAGGAATCGTAGCAGTTGTCGTTCCATAGTCACTGCGCTCCATGAGAGACAGGCGTGAAGTTATGTCATTGTATGTATTTTAACAACTTAACTGTCCCTATACAATAAAATTTACAATTACCCCACGTTCATGTCGCGGAGAACCTAACGGGTAACCGGGGCTCCGACTCGACGTGCAGGAGAAGGAACGGGGTGGTTTTTAGTCAGTAAGAGTCTGACACTCCCTCCCGCCTCACCCAGGCGGGAGCAGTCGTTCGATGATTTTCCCCCCTTAAAAAAAACCCCACCTCCATTGTTTTTTTAAACTGTCAAACACCAAGCGGTCACCGGTGACCGCAACCTATTGTTCTATAATTGTGTCTACAAAACTGGTACTCGACGAGTTAAAGGTCAGGTTTTTTGCTACACGTCCACGTACTTTTTTTAGAATTTGGTGCCACGTTCATATCAAAAATACACCCCAAACATGTACCAAAAATGAGTCACATGTGACTCGTGAACTTATTCTAAAACTTCATCGTGGGTCGTATGTGACTTCTTGAACAGTTAAGTCGTTATTTATTTAGTCTGGCTGAACCGATTGGGCTAATTTTGGTCTTGAAATGTTCGTGGAAATCTAAGGAAGGTTTAAAAGTAAGGTTTAAGTTTAAGTTTGCCGGGTCAAACTAGTTTTAAATAAATATATTGAACATAAACATAACATAACATCACGCCTTTTATCCCCGAAGGAGTAGGCAGAGGTGTACATTATGCCACTGTACAATGTAACACCCACTTTTCACTATTTATGTTATGAGTCCCATGTAACAGGGGGCGAGCCTATTGACATATACCGGGCACATTTTCAGACTCCGTGCTACTACTTACTGAGATTTTTTTTTAAAACCCAGTAATACTTTGCACGACTCGCTTTGGAAGGCTTTAGTTGAACAGGGGGTTCCTAAAAAATACGTACGCGTTATAAAAAATATATATCAGAAAAGTACCGCACAAATAAAATTAGAAACAATCGGTGAAGAATTCCGAATAGCTAAAGGTGTAAGGCAAGGAGACCCTTTATCTCCAAAGCTCTTTTCTGCAATCTTAGAAAGTGTATTCAGGGATCTGGAGTGGGAAAACATCGGTATAAGTATAGACGGCAAAAAGCTCAACCACTTGAGATTTGCGGATGACCTAGTCCTGATCACTGACAACGCAACTACACTTCAACATATGCTGCAACAGTTGTCGGAGGCGAGTAGAAAAGTAGGTCTCACTATGAATCTATCCAAAACAAAGTTAATGACAAACAGGGAAGAAAAAGTTGTAACTTTGGATGACGCAAGTATGGAATATGTGAGGACTTATACATACCTAGGACAACTAATTGCGTTTAGAAACCAAACAAAAAATGAAATCGACAGAAGAGTAGCTAATGCATGGAATCGTTACTGGTCACTTAAGGAGGTACTTAAAAGCAAACACTTCCCCATGATAGCAAAGAAAAAAGTGTTCGACTCGTGTGTCTTACCATGCCTGACATATGGATGCCAAACTTGGGCACTGAACCAAAAACATCTCCTAGCACTCAGAACATGTCAGAGGGGCATGGAAAGAAGCATGTTAGGAGTTAGAAAAATGGATCGCATACGATCAGAAGATATACGATCCATAACAAAGGTAGAAGATATAATAAAGAAAGTAAGGCAATTAAAATGGAGATGGACAGGACATATGACAAGAGATAGCAAAACAAAATGGACTAAAATTATAACGGAGTGGCAACCACGAGATGGTAAACGAAAGAGAGGCAGACAGGTAAAAAGAAGGATGGACGACATAAAAAAGGTCGCTGAGAATACCTGGCCAAGGAAAGCCAGAGACAGGGAAGTGTGGAAACAGCTGGAAGAGGCCTATGTGTCACAGGACACGCTGATCACTAAACCGAAACTGATGTGTTAGTTTATAAGTTAGTTTAATTATTACTTTTGTTATTTTAGTTTAGTTCAGCAATAAAGGCTTATTATAATACTTTGCCCGACCCGAGACCCTTTGCCCGGCAGTCGCACTTGCGACCACTCGGCCAACGAGGCAGTCAAATATATTGCAAATATTCAATATATTACTATGTGTTTATTTCATAAATAAATGAAATTCTGTTGACGATGATAAATAATTATTATACCGAATAATATCTGCTATTGTAACCGTTATAATAAAATTGGCAGTTAAAATAGAATACTTATCGAATAAATTGCATGTTGTGAATTCGAGGAAAAAACGAGAATTTTGTCATAAGTGTCACTATTGTTCATATTATAATAATAACAAACGGTAGGTAAATACGAAAATAACTATTGTAAATGTATGTTTTCTTAATCATTTTTTTTTTTAATTTTGATCCACGCTACTGGGGCATAGTTTTTCTCCTGTGTATACATACAAACAAATTCACATACACATGACACCCAGACACAGAACAACAATTTTTGAAACAAATATTAGTCTATTATTACTCTTTTGTACTACTTTTTAAGTGTGGGAGAGCTATACTTCGGCACGAATAGGCCGGCTCGACCGGAGTGATACCACGGACTCACAGAAAACCGACGTGAAGCAACGCTTGCGTTGTGTTTCGTCGTGTAAGTAAGGTTACAGGAGGCTCTACTACCCGCCCCGCCCTTCCCCAATCTCCCCAATCCCTAAATCCCCTACAATCATCCGCTGGAAGACGTCCACTGCTGATCAAAGGCCTCTCCCTTAGTCCTCCACGCTGAACGACAACTCGCTACCCCATCCACTCGCTCCCCACTCCGCCGCCTGCCAAGCTTTCTGTTCAGCAATTATACTTAAGTTTCGTTTTGTTCAGCAATTATACTTAAGTTTCGTTTTGTTCAGCAATTATAAATCGTTTACCGGTGTTTTACAAATAACTCTGTATTGACAGATACGTCAGACAATTATTGATCAATGATGAATAAGATTAGGTACTTATATTGAAAGAAAAAAAACTTCTTAAAAATAATCGTTTATCTTATTAGAATATTTTCTTAAAATATGTCTTTTACCTAAATTATTCAAATATTGTGATTATTTGTAAAGATAAAAATAAATTACAAAACTAAAAGTCTCGCGAGTTTCGAAATTGGCGGGTCCTCACGAGATAGTATTTTATAGTCTCGCCATCTTGTTTTAGCCCCAATCTCGCGTGATTTGAATATCCTACATATCTTAATTCCGTATCTTAGCAATTCCGTTTCTTCTTCGCTTGAGGCGAGTGCAAAAGTAATCGATTATAATTTAACTATTAATGGTTATTTAAAAAATGGTTACAATAGATTAGTTTTTAATAATGTAAGCGTTGGTAATTTTAGAAAATTCGTACGCTAAAACGTACTAGTCAACTGAAATGTATAAGCTGTTGAATATTATTTTAATATTCTTTGTTATCATCGCTGACTATAATGCAGTTTTTGGTGAATATATTATAATGCTTTTGTATAACTGTACCTATATACTTGGCTCGTTGGTCGAGTGGCCGCAAACGCGACTTTGGACCAAGCAAGATGGTACTTAAATAAATGGGTCCATTTCAATTTTTGGAACGTCCAATTACAATTTTCATTTTATAAATTGAGTTAAAGGCTAGGAATACTAATAAAAGATTGTATTCTTGTAAATAATTACCTATTTATTTGCACGTAATTGTATGAAAGATAAGAACAACAACAGAACGAAACAAAAACGTATAGTGCCACCTGGCAGAATAGATACGGTATTTTACAACTAATCAAATTCAATACTTTTATCGAAACGTCAAAAACGATATTGTTCTATGAATTTTGTGCCAAAAACTAACTTATGACGTCATCATATGTTCGATTCAAATAGCACACTTATTTCTGAAAAAAAATGCTAGAATAAATCGAAAAATTTTAAGTATATTGTCAAATACCTATATGAATGAAATTGTAATTATTTTTTGAATATTTAATTGGACTGAAAAATCAAAATACTTAATTTATTTTTGACCCAGGAAAATACCCAATTATTCAAAACTAAAAACGTAAAGCAGCCAGTGATATATTTAGTAATTCAATATTATACAACATGGTATTGAATAAAAATTAGACATATATTAAGTTATTCTGTCTTGGATCTGCAGAGGGCATGGTGCCCCAAGCTTCCGGTTGACACAGGTCCTTTCCGGACACGGCCGCTTCCTTCTGTGAACGTATCATGTTGGCAAAGGAGGCGGCTGGAAGGGAGAGGGAGGCGTCCAGCTCTCTCCCTTTCCGCCGTAGACGGGCTGGCCGACAACGCCGGTAGTGGCGGGCTGGTTGAGGGCTACTATGTACACATATATGGCCACAATTAAGTGGTCGGCCGAGGCTAAGGGGGAAAATCATCGAATGGCTGCTCCCGCCTGGGTGAGGCGGAAGGGAGTGTCAGACTCTTACTGACTAAAAACCACCCCGTTCCTTCTCCTGCACGTTGAGCCGGAGCCCCGGTTACCCGTTAGGTTCTCCGCGACGTGTACGAGCCCTAAGTCTGAACAATGTATTTTGTTAAGTTACTGCCGTCACCGCATAGCTTTTTTCCTTTTTTCGAGAGGGGAAAATAAACAATGACTTCTCCCTCCTTGGGTTAGGCGAGAGGAAGTGTCAGACTCTTACTGACTAAGAACCACCCCGTTCCTACATCCGTCCTGCTCTTCAATTCGGAGCCCCGGCAATCCATTCTTCTTCGGCTCGGTCTTCCGCGGCTCCGTACCTACACACATTTATTTAAAATTCTCTATGAATTAAATACTACTTAACAAAAAATTAAATAAAATGATATTTAGCAGTAGCGGGAGAATGGTTCAGGGTACTGGTTGTTAGGGCTCCAGAGACAAACCTCCTCACGGTACGTGCCGTTTCTTGGAGAATTGGCTTGTGTATCAGGCCCTTGATCCATTCGGTTAACGCTGTCCTCCTTAGAGGGATATCGAGGCTATATTACGTGAAGTCTGACTGCACGGTTGGTGCGGTGGCTGGGCAACCGGCTGCCGTGCAACGTGTTGCGAGTTCGATTCCCGCACGGAACAACACTTTGTGTGATCCACAAATTGTTGTTCCAGGTCTGGGTGTCATTGTGTATGTGAACTTGTATGTTTGTAAACGCACCCACGACACAGGAGAAAATCCTAGTGTGGGGCAACGTTTTTTTTTTTAAAAAAAAAGGCGTTTTGAATAATATTACACCTGTTTTACTCGCAATTATTTTAAGTTTATTCGAAGTAAACCAGAAGTGAAAGACAGCCAGAGCCGCGTTATCTGCATCACTTATCGTTTGAATGTCGTTTGCTAATACTATGGCATTTGTGTCATCCGCGAAAATTATAAGTTGCTAATCATATTTTCAGAAATTTATAAGATCGATAGTGAAAAGAATAAAGCTGATATGAATGGAGCCGTCGGTAGAGGGCACCCTAGATGGACTTATATTGAGCAGATTTGCGATATTATATTGGCCCTTCTTTAGGGCCAGATTAGATTAAAAGTACCCTTAACCGATGAGCATGCATGAAAAGTCTCTGCCTACCCCCATGAGAGACAGGCGTGAAGTTATGTATGTATGAAAAAATTAAACAATAAAGGTCCCAAGACTGATCCTTGTGCCACACCGGATTTCATACAAAGCATGGGCAACCTGTGTCCTTTTCTACAGCCATTCTATTGCACCCCATCGACATCAACAAACATTTTTCTATTTTTAAAATATGAAGAGAAGAATCTTTTTTATTAATAAATTGTATTTCTTCACGGACTTGTGTCCATGCCCTTGTCATATTAATTACAGTTACTTTGTTTTCATGGTCAAATAATTGTTATAAAAATCTTAAATGCTAGGCTAACTACTAATATCACTATACAAAGTACTTGATGTTGTTACCTATATAATTATTATAATCTTATTATCTTACACTAACCCTATTGGATCAGCCTACCAGCGCGATGAGCGATCCGACCTACTACAGCAGAAGGCACCCGTTCACGGGTATGACGTGTAGGCCAGCAATCGGTCCGATCAACCATTTCGTGGGGAACGGAACGGCCCAGCCCACAGCGCCACCGATCAGTAATTCGATGTCATTAGTGTCAAAAGCAGAGCTCAAGTCTAGAAAAATATCAGCTGCTTTCATATTACGATTAATTTTATCGATTACATCAATTTAAAGATTGCATCTACTGTGCCTATATTCTTTTGGTATCCAAATTGTCTTTCATAAACTATTTTATTTAAATTAAGATGAACAGTCAAGCAATCCTTTAGGACTTTTTGGAAAATTTTGTAGTTTCTTGCATCCGTTTTCAGGCCCTTTTTATGAAGAAAGGTGAGCTCAGCTCAGCTATTTTTAATTGTTCGGGAGAAATGTCTTCTAATATGCTATAGGTAACAATAAAGTTGAAAGTGATTCTGCTAAAATTTGTAAATTTTATTTAATTACCGAAATCGGAATGAAACACTTCAACTGTCTAGGCAGACCTTTTCACACTCTTTTTGGGAAAAATTGTTTTTACTGCCTCCGCAACCGCCGTACACGAAGAAAATACACTCATCCTTCTCTTGGTCGTAATAGTATCTGAAAGAAATATTAATTGACTATTGATAGAACATTTTTCCTCGAAAATAGTGACGTCATTGTCAGTTTTCTACAAGGTCTACGGCGCGTTTGTGTTGCTTTTGTTGTTGCAAGTACTCATATATGTAGGCTATGACACTTACCCATCAGGCAGTCAGTCAGCTTTTTTGGGACCAGCCCACCTCAACCTTACGAAACCACTGCAACTCCTGTAAGCCAGGATCCACAGTGGATACCATACAACCATGAAAACACCGGAACATTGAAGTCCAGCGCATCTTAAATCTCGCAACGAAATAAATCAGAAGATATTATAAGAGGTAGAGTAATCAATACCAAGCTCCTTCGATACCTAGAGGAGCACGACCTGCTCAGCGACCGTCAATACGGTTTTCGCCACGGTCGCTCGACTGGTGATCTTCTAGTGTATCTCACACACCGCTGGGCCTCGGCCATTGAAAGTCAAGGTGAGGCATTGGCAGTTAGCCTAGATATAGCGAAGGCGTTCGATAGGGTCTGGCACCGGAGTCTTCTGAAGAAGTTGCCATCATACGGACTGCCCTAGGGATTGTGCAAATGGATTGGTAGCTTTTTGTCCGGCCGACGCATAAGAGCCGTCGTAGACGGTAGTTGCTCTGAAAGCATGGACATAAACGCTGGCGTCCCACAAGGCTCCGTACTTTCCCCGACGCTGTTTCTTCTGCATATCAATGATTTGCTGTCTGTTGAGGGTATTCATTGTTATGCTGATGATAGCACCGGGGACGCATTTTACACGGGCCGTGCAAACATCCCTCGTTCCGTTGTGGAAGAAAGCCGCGTAAAACTTGTGTCTCAAATCGAGAGTACCTTATGCCGAGTCTCCGATTGGGGTCGGGACCATATGGTCCGGTTCAACCCCTCCAAGACACAAGTTTGTGCGTTTACCGCTAAAAAAACCCCATTCGTTGTGGCCCCTAAATTCCAAGACACTACCCTTAACATCTCCAAAAGTATAGGTATCCTTGGTGTCGACATATCTAGTGACGTCCAGTTCCGTAGTCACTTAGAAGATAAGGCCAAGCTGGCATCTAAAAAACTCGGTGTACTGAACAGAGCGAAGCGGTACTTCACGCCGGGACAAAGACTGCTTTTATATAAATCGCAAGTTCGCCCCCATATGGAGTACTGCTCTCATCTCTGGGCAGGAGCGCCAGCATACCAGCTTGGACCTTTTGACGCGGTCCAAAGGAGAGCTGTCAGACTTGTTGACGATCCTATACTTACGAGCGGTATCGAGCACTTAAGTCTAAGGAGAGATTTTGCCTCCTTGTGCGTGTTCTACCGCTTGTATAATGGATTATGTTCTGCAGAATTATTTGATACGATGCCCACGGCCACTTTTTATCATCGCACCGCTCGCCATCGACAGGGGATTCACGCTCACTCATTGGAGCCAAAATGGTCCCGTACAGTTCGGTTTCAGAGGAATTTTCTCCCACGGACCCTCCGATTGTGGAATGAGCTCCCTGCCGTGGTTTTCCCAGTGGGCTACAACATGAGGTTCTTCAAGAGGGCGGTGAATAGGTTTTTTAAGGGTCGGCAAGACGCATGTAATGCCCCAAGTGTTGCAGGCGTACATAGGCCACGGTAACCGCTTACCATCAGGTGGGCCGTGTGCTTTTTTGCCACCGTCGTGGCATAAAAAAAAAAGAGGAAAAGAAAACGATAGTTTATAATACTGCTTTCTAATAATGAGTGGAAAACAGTTGCGACGGCACAGGTAAATATCAGCTGGACGCGGAAGCAGCTGGAGCACATCGAGAGGCGTGTCAAGAAGCTCATCAACGATGATGCGCTTGTGGAAGCCCGGCTTCAAAGTCTCGTGTATAGACGTAAGTTTGCAAGACTTTCGGTATTCTACCGGATACATTTCGATGAGTGTGCGGGGGAATTGCACAATTTAATTCCTCCTAGTCCTTTCCATCATCGTACCACAAGAAAATCGACTCAGCATCATCGGTTCGTAGTAGATGTCCCACCAACACGCACGAAGCGCTTCGCATCAAATTTCTTTGTGTGTACTGCTAAGGATTGAAATTCTTTGCCAGAGTCTGTATTTCTAGAAGGGTATAACCTGAGTATCTTCAAAGCTCAAGTGAATAGATTGCTTATGGGTCGATATGCTCCATCGGAAACCGTATCATTGCTTACCACCACGCGAGATAGTGGTCAAACGTCGGCACATCCTTACTTAATATTATAAATCAGACAGTGAGTTTGTTTGTTTGTTTGTTCCGCTTTCACGCCGTAACTACTAAACCGATTGCTTTGAATTTTTGCAGACGTAAAGTTACAAGTCTGGGTTAAATAATAGGGTACTTTTTATCTTGAAAAAAATTGATATTCTAGAGGGAAAACGAAATTTTTGATATAGATGGCGTTGTGTGTATTGGTATTTGTCACATAGGCTACTTTTTATCCTTTTGTGACGCGAACGAAGCCGCGGGTAAAAGCTAGTCAAATATAAATGTATAAAAAACATACTAACCTTGGGACATACGCGAGACAGTTCAATTCTTCGTTAGTGTGTCTTTCCAGGCATCGTGAATCCCGCCCTGTAAGCATGATGACAGACAAATATTACCTTCCACACTTAAATATACATATATTATAAATAAAAAAATACAAAGGAATTTCTTTTTTGGAAAAAATAAGTGTTAGAATTGAACATTTAAACTGTCAAACACCGCGAGGACACCGGCGACCGCAACCTATTGTTCTTTAAACTGTCAAACACCAAGCGGTCACCGGTGACCGCAACCTATTGTTCTATAATTGTGTCTATAATGACGGTACTCGACGAGTTAAAAATGTTTGAATTGAAATGGACCCATTTTAATTTTTCATATATATCTTTATATATTATTTATATACAGAGTAGTTGTTATAATCTGTCGTTTCTTTGTTTTTTTTCTATATCTATATAAATATGTGTATTTATTTGTATTTATTTAAATTTGTATTAATTTCTATCCTTTATAATGTGTATTTTTTATTTTGATTTCAGTTTTCTTTAAATGTTATATAAAGTACTTAATTAGCTAGTAAGAATAAGAAATGAGCGAGCTTCTCACCGTTAAACGATATGTTTGGCGAGGATCTTTAATTATAAGAACAAAATGTTATTCCTAAAATTTTACGTTTGTTAAATAAATAAAATAAATAAAATTTGTTCTTTTCTTTTTTAAATTTTGTATTTTTTTTGTATCTGTGTGCGTGCCTACTGTCGAATAAATGTTTTTTCTTTCTCTCTTTCTTTCCGTTTATTTAAGTACCATCTTGCTTGGTCCGAAGTCGCGCTTGCGGCGACTCAACCAACGAGCCAGGTGTAGTTATACGTAAGCAATATATGTATATTCACCAGAAACTGCAAAGTCAGCGTTGATGAACAAGAATATTAAAATAGTATTTAGCAGCTTATACATTTCAGGAAACTTGTGCTTCGTTCTGAAAGGAATTAATTATGGCAAATTTCTATAATTTCAAATGCTTGTCGTTTTAAAAGTACGTATGTATTGTAACATAATTTTAATTAATCCTTACTATTATAAATGGGAATGTGAGTTTGTTTGTTTGTTCCACTTTCACGCCGTAACTTCTAAACCGATTGCTTTGAATTTTTGCAGGCGTAAAGTTAGAAGTCCGGAATAAATAAAAGGGTACTTTTTATCCCGGAAAATTTTGATATTCCCGAGGGAAAACAAAAGAATTGGTATAAATGGCGCTGTGTGTATTGGTATATTATTATGTCACAGGCTACTTTTTATCCTTTTCTGACGCGAGCGAAGACGCGGGTAAAAGCTAGTAATTTATAATTAAAATTAGAATCAATTACTGTACGCACGACTATAATTAAATTTCCAGTTTGTTGTGTTAGTTGCAATTTTCTTAATAACAATATAATTTGTGTTATTTTATTGAACGTCAGATTTTTAGAAAATCCTTGAGTTAGACCACATGTCAAGTGCGTTGTAGGTGCATTTACGAACAAATCCACATGAGTACATTACATCCAGAACTTGCGGGATTAGAAACCAGCATTGCTGGTCTAACCGTACGGTTAGGGACAGTCATGCAGCAATAGATTCTGATGTTTTATTCAAGAATACACAACAAGGTTCTCGCACGATCCAAACAACAAAACTATGTAACAAATTGTAATGTGGACCTTATTGAAAAAGAGTCCCCTATGGAGTTTCTTGCTCGTTCTTCTCCATAGGAATGTACATATTGGAATGAGCAAATAGCTTCACTTTTAATTTTTTGTTAACGTACCTTTAAAAGTGCCTTTCTATTAAATATTATTCTATTTTTATTCTGGTTTAATTGGAATAAATGATTTTGACTTAGACTTGTTGTTGCGTTGGATGGAAACAGTTCGTTACGCCGTGGGCCGGCTTTGCGACGCGTCATCTTAACCGACCTGATGCGAATGGTATTAGTAACACCCTTTTTGCGTAAACATAAAGGCTTTTTGATCGATGTTAGCCGATTCCGCGCCGATAAGGCTGCCTGTCCATTGACGCAGAGAGGGGCAGCGGATCTAGCGAGTATTGCGGAGTTACGGACTGTGTCTGTCCATTGAGGCAGAGCGAGGTAGCGGTTCGGAGCCAGCGAGTATTGCTGAGCGGAGTAATGGACTGTCAAACTTCAGCATACGGAGGTATGGGATATTGAGCCCCGCTCCCGTGACAGCTTTCCCGCCGCCGGCTCATTCGGTTGCCTCGCTCCGCCGTCTCGCATCGCTACCTCACACCGCTATCTCGCGCCGTTTCCGAAAATGTATGAATTTTTAAACTAGCTCGCAAATCCCTTCCCACTGAAGCAGAGCGGAAATTCATGCAATCCTATTGGTTAATATTTCTTCGTTTCTCCGCTCCGCTGCCCCTCTCCGCGTCAAAGGACAGGCAGCCTAAATGTCCTGAGACTCTAGTTAGACAGTATTTAAAATCTCTGGCGCATTATTAAACTGTCAAACACCAAGCGGTCACCGGTGACCGCAACCTATTGTTCTATAATTGTGTCTGCAAAACCGGTACTCGACGAGTTAAACCATTCATTATTAAACTGTCAAACACCAAGCGGTCACCGGTGACCGCAACCTATTGTTCTATAATTGTGTCTGCAAAACCGGTACTCGACGAGTTAAACTCCGTATTTTGACAATTGTCAAAGCGACATTAGCGCAGCATCGTGAACGAGTGCGAGTGCTTGTATGTAGCAGCCCTTAGTAATTATTGCCGTCTTAACTTCTTCCATGGGTTGACGATGATGATGATGATGGTACATATTTGGCAAAGACCGAGTGGGGAGCCTAGGAAGACTTAACGGGTTACCGGGCTTCCGGCATGAAGCAGGATTAGGAACGGTGTGTGTTTTAGTCAGTAAGAGTCTGACTCTCTCTCTCGCCTCACCCGTCCTTTGAAGTAAGTGGATGATTTCTCCTCTTAAAAAAACTACTCTCAGGCATCGAATCTGAGAGTACTTGCTCAGCAGTCACGTTTCTGGGATTTTGGGAACGTGTACAAAATAAAACACATTGTTAATTTCTCTTTTTTATAATTTCAAACGAAACGACTCATTGCAATATCTGATAACTTTAAAATGGTCTCCGGAGATGTTGGAAGTGATGCTACTTCTTATCTGTGCCGTCCTGAAAACACATAAATAGTATTATTATAGTGATTCATGACATGATACGTGCTGCCGTGGTATGTTCAGAGAGACTTTCAGAACATTCCGAGATCGATGAATGTTAGCGAGAGAGATATGACAGAATTGTGTCATTTATAATAGGGTAGATGACTAATTTTTATTTTAACTCGTCGAGTACCGTCATTATAGACACAATTATAGAACAATAGGTTGCGGTCACCGGTGACCGCTTGGTGTTTGACAGTTTAATGTCTGTTTGATAGATTATTTATAAACATTAAACACGTATTTTTATTTTTTTACGGAAACGAATAGTTTCGAAGATATATTGATTTGAAATGTCGCGTGACGTCACTTCTATGTACTTTTTTACGAAGAAATGACGTATTAGCCCCCACTCCTAAACTTTGATTCGTTATATACAAGTATCATTTTATTATACAACAAAATAAAAAAATACGTGTCTAATATTTTTTCATTACATAACTGACGGACTAATTACATTTTAAATTTTCATACCCTGTCATCATCCCTATTATGAAATAACTATTTTCTTGTGAAATATGTAAGCTCCTTCAAAAACATTGAATTCCAAAGCTAATTAAACCAGTTACTACCCAGAAGCCACGAGCCGATATTATAGTACCTGTCTTTTTTTTTCTTGAGGGGCGAAAATCATCCAATGTTTTTTCCCGCCTGGGTGAGGCAAGAGGGACTGTCAGACTCTTACTGTCTGAAAACCACCCCGTTCCTACTCCTGCACGTCGAGCCAAAGCTCCGGCAACCCGTTAACTCTTCCGCGGCTCCGTATCGGCATCAGCCCTGTTGGGCCCCATATGTGGTGGTCTGATGACTCCTTCGCTGTGCCTGATTCTGATTGGGCGGCGAGTCACCCGTACTCGCCGCCGTGAGGAGGTTCGTTCCTTCACGCGCTCTGCCTCCTCCTTAGCTAGCATATATGTATAGTACCTGCCTATATTCGTTTTAACTTGTGATTAAATCACGAATTAATCTTTATATATAAAAATCAATTGTTGTTCGTTAGTCTCGCTAAAACTCGAGAATGGCTGAACCGATGTAGCAAATTTTTGTCTCTTGAAACGTTCGCGGAAGTCCAGGGAAGGTTTAAAAGGTGAGAAAACAAATTTTAGGCGGTACGAAGTTTGCTGAGTCAGATAGTATATCTATATTTTTATTGTGCTTCTACGAATGCCATTTTAAATTAAATGTCGAGTCGAGTCCTGAGGTAGTGTATCTACCTACAGTGCACACACCTGCAGTGCCTGTGCCTACCTACGTGCCTGTGCCTACCTACGTGTTCTGCATCTACCTGTGCGTCCGGCATCTGCTATTGTACTGCACACCTACCCGCCAGTCCGCTGCCGAGCTGCCTGACTACACAGGAGTGGTGTTTCTATTGGCGGGCAGGAATCTAACGCGCGCTAGATATTTTAAATCCATATCCAACTCTGCCGATCTTCTTTTTTTATAAATATATTGTATTAATTCTAACCTATAATTCTTATTTTCTTCTACATCTACCAACCATTAACTAAAACGTTACAGTGGAAAGTTAGTACAGTGAGTGTATGAGATTGACATGACATACGACAAATTATGTCAAAATTTGTGTCAAGCCCATACATTAAGTTTTATAATCTAATGAAGACATGTTCTCGATTTTTTCAGAGAGTTTTGTATTGGTGTCGTGGGACCCCAAAAAATGTTTGCGACTTACCAATTACATGTTTATATGTTCTTCGTGGATGCAGGAAATTGTGCAGTCTAGTTTTGTATCAAAATCGTCATTAGTGTCTCCGCAACCACCGACCTTGCTAAAAATGCAGTCATCTTTCTCCATGTCGTAATACCAACTGCAAAAAAATTAATTACTTTAACGTAGCGCTCTGTTTTTTTATGGAACAGGAGGCAAACGAGCAGATCACCTAGTGGTAAGCGATCAGCGCCGCCCATGGAGACTAGCAACACCAGAGGAGTCACAGGTCGTTGACAGCCTTTTAAAAAGGAATACGCTCTTTTTTTTAAGGTTTGAAGGTCGTATCGGTTCGGAAATACCGCCGACGACAGATCATTCCAGTTTTGCGCACGGGTGTGGTCCCTCAAGCATCTATATGATGGGGCTGCTTATGCTATCGTGAGGGTCGATGGTGAAAAATTGCAGCTGGTATCAGGTCAAACAATTCCTCGGAACATTCCCCGTAGTATAAACGATGGCAATACACAACAAATCTACATCTCTACGCATTGCAAAAGTGTCTCGCTGGTTTTTCCGAACGGCACGCCGCTGAACGCGGTCTAGACAAAGAACCTGGTACTGAGGTGCCCCCACCCAAAGATGAGAACAGTATTCCATGTAGGGCCGAACCTGCGCCTCATATGAAAGAAGGCAGTGGGCCGGGGTGAAACACTGCCTCGATCTATTGAGCACACCAAGCTTCCTCGAGGCTAATTTGAAGCCTGATCCTCCAGATGACCGCGGAACTAGACGTCGCTCGAAATGCTGACAACAAGTATTCCAATACCGGCTGAGGCAGTTAAGGGGGTGCTTTGAAAATGAAGAGAGTTTTTTAGCAGTGAACATCTAGACCTGTGTCTTAGTTGGGTTAAACTGGACCGAATTAAGTCCACCTCGATTAGAGACTGATTCTCCCTAAAGAGGCCTCGATTTCAGACACGACTCTGTTTCGGCTCTCCATGACATTAAAGCTACACGGAATTAATGGATGAAAAGTAAAAGTTTTAGATGCTTACATTTTATAGTGGCTTAGGTGCTTTACGCAACCTGAATGGGCTGGCTAGGCCGGGGAAGTACTTCACTTCCACGGGATACCCGCGTGAAGTGGTGACGTAATGTTGCTGCGTACAGTCTGGTAAGTGAGGATAACAGTTTCCTAGATGGTCCACGACACATTTGTGATGTCTCTCGTTCTGCTAGTGTACTTAGGCTATAGTGTAAGCTTGCCATCAGGCGGACGGTCGACTTTTTTGATAGCGATAGTTAAAGAGTATAAAATATTTATATATTAACTTTTCCCTGTTCTCCACGCAGACACGTCCATAGCGATTAGATTTCTTCCGTCTGAAGCATCGTCGATCCAAACTTCCTTGAACTATAACAATTGCTCAACTTAATCTTGTATTGTGGTGGGTTCGCCTACAAACACGTTGTTAGGACCGCGAGTAACAATTTGTAAATACAAATAATTTATCTATTTGAGGACTTGGGTTACTGCTGTGGAGACCCGCGAGGAGATACCATTGCTCTGGCGCGAAGCAGGAGTCAGAGTGGGGTGCTTTTTAATCTATAAGAGATTTGTCTCTCTTGCCTGACTCAGGCCAGAAAGAGTCATATTATGGTGATTTTTCCTCTTAAAAATATAGTACTTGTACCCAACTTTGTACAAAGGTCCAGTGCTATGAATTAAATGGCATTTACACGCTAGTCGAACGGGCGACAAAAAAGGTTAATGTATTGGTTCGGCACAAATTAGAACATAATTTGCTAATGTGAATATCAACCCCGTACATTGAATCTTTATTCACTCATTTGACTAGCGTTTTAATGTCTGTTTTGTCTAAAGTGACAAAGTCCTAAAAATTCTGGTCTGGATCATCTACGTACTATCGTGCTTGCAGCAGTTGCGAGTCTCTTTGAAATGCGAGTCAAATTAAATAATCAATCAAGTTTACCCAAGCCTGCAGTATAGTCAGTGACGATGAACAGAAATATTAAAATAATATTTAACAGCTTATACATTTCAGGAGACTTGTGCGTTCGACTCAAAGAAATTGTAATATTATGGCAATTTCCTATAATTTCGAACGCTTGCCTTTTTTAAAACGAATTTATCACAACATGTTTTGTATTAATCATTTATAATTAAATTTGAATCAATTTTTTTACATAATTAGATATTTTCCTTAAAAAAATCTAATTTGAATTACCTACATATTTACATTAATTTGTTTCTTTAACAAACGTACTTACACGATTATAACTTTTTTAATGACTGCACGGTTGATGCGGTGGCTGGGCAACCGGCTGCCGTGCAACGTGTCGCGGGTTCGATTCCCGCACGGAACAACACTTTGTGTGATCCACAAATTGTTGTTTCGGGTCTGGGTGTCATTGTGTATGTGAACTTGTATGTTTGTAAACGCACCCACGACACAGGAGAAAATCCTAGTGTGGGGCAACGTTTTTTTTAAAAAAAGAATAAAAATAGCTTAACAAAAAAATAAACTCTTCAGCTTCGTATATAGTATAAGATAAAACTGGTATAAACTGGTAGCGGTCACCACCCAGTCAGGAAATGTGGGGACTCGTAGGGTAGGTACGCAGATTCGGTTTATAACCGAGAGTCAATACGACATTAGCGTCGTACGCGCGTAGTCGTGAACGAGTGCGAGTGCTTGTGTGTACTGAGGCCTTAGTACGAGTTTAATTTACGTTTAGAGTATTCGAATCGAGACTGCATTCGGCGCTCTGATTGGTTGGTTCACTGGAGCCGGCCAATCAGAGCGTCGAACACATCCTTGTTTCGATTACTTTAAAAGTGAAACAAACTCATACTAAGGCCTCTGTACTTTTCCCGTGGGTATTATAAGATCCATCTAAGGGGGATATTTGGCAGAGACCTGGCAAGGAGCCGCGGAAGACTTAACGTGTCACCGGGGCTCCGACTTGCAGCATAATTAAGAACGGTGTTATTTTTAGTCAGTAAGAGTCTGATACTCTTTCTCTTGCCTCACCCAGGGCGGGAGAAGTAATCAGGTTATTTCACCTCTTAAAAAAACTACTCACAGGCATCGAATCTGAGACTACTTGGTCAGCAGTCACGCTTCTGGGATTTTGGGAACGTGTACAAAATAAAACACATTGTTTTTTTTTTACTTTTTTATAATTTCAAACGAAACGACTCATTTCAATATCGGATAACTTTAAAATGGTCTCCGGAGATGTTGCGAGTTATGCTGCTTCTTATCTGAGTCGTTCTCGTTAAGAGTTCTGAAAACACATAAATAATATTATTATAGTGATTCATTATATGATACGTGCTACCGTGGTATGTACAGAGAGACTTTCAGAACATTCAGAGGTCGATGAATGTTAGCGAGAGAGATATGACAGAATTGTGTCATTTGGCGTTCTGAGGGTAAGCCTTCATTCTAACTAAGGCTCGAGTTTGTTACACGAGTGCAGTAATTGACACGTGACCGCGTCTGGCGTAATACAATCACTAAACCCTCTGTTGTCCTGCCTACCCCAATGGCACGATATGTATGTATGTGTGTGTGTCTTCACTATAACAAGTACTGCGGTTGATTAAAATTCGTCGACAAGCAAGCAACGTACATACCACTATGTATACAATTTACAAGGTGTCCCTGAAGTCGACGATCAAATGGTACCGGGTGATCGGTAAGGTTCCAACAGTTATCAGAAAGATATAATAAAACTTCCAATATATATATATATATATATATATTACATGTATATGTATCTATTTACACAGGGACGCGGCAGTTGTGGGTGCTCTCTTGGACGGAGAATGTTGCTTATGATAAAGCGGATGCAACATGAGGAAATGTGTGTGCAGAAACATGTAGAAATAGAAAATAACCTATTGACTTTGGACTATTGTAAGCTTTATTGGAATCGGCCAACGTTGCAAGGATTGAGGCGTCATGCACACATAAATGTCCTACAGTCGGTGGCGCTGTGTGTTGGATTATTCCGTTTCCAATAAAAAGGTTGACCGGACCAATTGCTGACACACACGTCATACTCGTGAACGGGTGCCTTCTGCTGGGTCAGGTCGGCTCTCCCATCTTGTTGGTGGGCTGATTTCATGAAGCCTTATAAGTAGAATAATTATTATGTAATTTATACTTTTGGCAATAATTATAGATGTAGTTAATTGTAGTGTGTAACTAGGTACCCACTTTACTTTATAAAAATTAACTAGATGTATTATAATAAAAAAAAAATTGTATGTCAAGTGCACGGACCTAGAGTCCGTGGAGAATTAATATGTAATATTATATATATCTATTTACA